AAGAGCGATTGCTTCCAGAATAAATATAAAAGACAATTTAGAAATAACTTATGAAACATATGTGAGGGAATGAAAGTCAATAAGAACTGTGCAGAGAATCCATATAATTTATATAGCAACATTCCACAAAAGGACACGAGGATGAAATGTAAACTGTATCAAATGCTTCCAAAATGCCAATTAACCTTCAGAAAACATGTTTTCCAGATTCTGGGGAAATGTAAGTTTTGCTGTAAGAAAAGTTTTCCAGATTATGTCATCAAGACAACAACCAAAAAATAATATTGATAACAACAACCAGAAGCCACATAGTCCCAACTATTTGTGATAGGCTATATAATCCTGTATTGAGCTCTAAGCTCTATTCCAGAGCAATATCATTGGTCAAACTAATTCAGTCAAATATCTTTGCATTGTTTCTGATAGTTGTCTGAGAGCTTCTTTTACCTCTCCTTGCATCACCAACTATAGTTGAATCAACTTATCTAGGATGCATCTACAGGTCCCCTTATGATAGGTCCATATATTTTGAGTTTACCTCATTTTACCTATGATCAGAACTAACCCGAGTTATTCACAAATTTAAAAATGTTTTATCCTATCTTTTCAAGTAATCCTTTTCATTTATTTCAATATTCTCTTCTCAGTGAAATAACCTTTCAATATGCTGTTTCTTTATTAGCCAGCATTCCTATCCATAAAGCATAGTTGATCTCACAGCTACTTTCTTTTTAGCCTAAGAGGAACATGACATTCAAACCAAACCTTGATGCCTCTTTCTAAGTTAGTCATCCTGCATTAACTCTATATAATATGTACATTTGGTGATCTTTGATTCCCATTTAATGATCAACCCAATGCATTACTTCTGTGATAATGTTGTTGATATGCTATCCTAAACCTATTGTAATTAAAATTAGTAGTCAAATGAAATGAAATATCTTTAAAGGCAGATGCAACTTGGACAATCAAGTAAATACATGGAACTGCTTCACATGTTATACATGATATACCGGCACAAATCGAGGATAATGCCAGATTTTATGATTAAGATTATGTCTGCAATTGAAATAACTCAAATCTCAAATTTTGCAGGTACCAGTAGAACTCCATTGAAGCTATTATGAATACAATTAATAAAACAAACAGAAGAGACGTAAAAATAAACAATAACTAGCCAAGAAAGATATCAACAATCGGCATAAAATATGATTATCCAGGACATGCAAAAAGATATCCTGTCCTCTTGATGGAAAAAACAACAAATTAAGACAACTTGTACCTTCGCCTGCCTTTGACATCACAACCCGTGAATCACCAACATTGGCTACATATAACTGGTTTCCGATAAAAATAGCTGTTGAAGCGGTAGAACCATCATCTCTGAAAGCAATTCTTTCAGCTTCCAGGAAGTCTGAATCAGTTTTAAGATATGTTTCACCTGTGGTTCGCACAAAAAGATAAACCAAAGTAACACATTAAAATATATTTCATTAATCAGTTACGAAAACTCTGAACCAAAGTTAAATATCTTAAACATACTAATAGCCAATTTTGTGTCTGTCATGAACAGTGGATGTTTCATAAGGTTTTCAAATAAGTGGTCCTTCAAATATTCAGCAGCACGAGATCCACCATGACCTTCGATGTTAAGATGTCAATAGAACATAAAACTTGCAAACCAAGGAAAATTATAATAATGAACAAACAAGAGAGCAGAAAATATCAAACCATCAAATATTCCGAAGAGACTAACAGATTGCTCATTGATGTTAGATATTTTAACGTCACAACAATCCTCCATGCTTGCTCTCCTTCCCCTAAAACTTGAATATCCATAACTCAATCTTCCATCCTCACTGCCAATCAAATAAAAGTCCATGATGTGACACATTCAGTTTAATCTTCCAAACATAACACAGTAAAAGGAGCTAATGTAGTATATATATATTGACAATATACAAGGTTGACAAGAAAACATTTACTATATCCTAACCACTAGCGATGATGTTTACAAGTTAGGTTGTCTCTATAAGTAAAACAATGAAAGCTGCTTTTGGAATAAATATGAAGATACTGATACCCACTGCAATATCAGGAGTACCATAGCACACCGCCACTGGGTTTGGAAACATCTCTAGCATGACAAAATATCTAGGACCTTCGGAATGCTTTATTAGTTGGACGACTGATACAAGAACAGCACAGGTTTTGACTTGTTTAAGAAAGACCTCATTAGTACATGGAAGAACTTCCATCCATGTACTGCAAGAATACTTATCATGCAGCAAAAGCAATAAAGTACATGGTACAATGAGGCAAAAAGCAATACATAGTTTGTCATCCTTCATGTACATAAACCAATCAGAAGCCTTGTAGCACCTATGATGATAAAAGCCACCAAGAACAAATATTATTCATAGCTAATATAAACTAAACAAAGTCACAGATAATTAGGAAGGATATTTTACAGCCAAATTCTTGTAACAGGATGCCAAGTAAATAGTACAGAAGTGTGTGTAAATAGAGTTCCCTGTTAAGTTTATTTAAAGCTTGTTGCATGAAAGGATGGAAGAAAGTTGATCTAAGGGCATATGCCCCTCTCAGTACAAGGAAACCCATGGAGAATCCTTTAAACCTCATTGTTAATAGATAAGGTATACCAATAATACATAAAGCAATTAACTCAAGAAAAAAAAAAGATTCCAAGAGAATGAATGCTCAATTTGGTCCTTTCCCACTGGTTCGGGTTTTGGTTACACCACTTGTGTGATACAGTTAAGTGATTAGTTACTAATCTGTGTTTCCGATGACTAAAAGCAATCAGCTAGAGTACCCGAAGTTGTATCTGGTATCACCAATTAACTTATACGCGATGAATATCAACACTGGTGTACATAACAGATAAACTGTTCAAGCTCAGTGTTCAAGACAAAAATTTACCCCCGTATAAGGACTTCAAAACCTTTCAAATAACTTGTATCATACAAGGAAGACTACTGTATGGTTCTGGCCTTAACAGCATGGACGCCTTACAATGATATTGCTATGACAACATGTTGTAACCACACCAGCTATGACTCTATTGTGGATGCTCCTCATGTTTAAATTAAAATGTAAAAAGTTGTAACACCCTTACAAACAGAAAATATTTACCTTTTCCATCCACCGCTCACATAATCTCCATCTCCACCGCGGTCTTTTTCCTGCAACACATTGACGATAGCTTGAGGTCCCATAGATGCGCTCGAATCGAACATCATCTTCGCAGACGCCCTGAATTTGCGGTTGTTCCAGTGACAGAAGGCTGGTTTCAGGCTCAGATCCCTCCCCCAACTCCTGAAAAGCCTCCTACTGGAAGATATATAGATCAGACCGGTCGCTGGAACTGCCAAATTTCTGAAACTAGCTCTGCATACCACCATCTAAGTGGGTTGCTGACCACCAATAGTGCCGGATAACCCACCCAAAGCGGATATGATTAGCCAATACAGAAGAGAGATAGCGAATCTGTGAAAAAGTTGATAACTTTTAGGAAATAATCAGGAACAAAGATGCCATTTTCAGCCTCCAATCGGATCTCGCTCACAGAATTCTCCACCAAAGAATCAAGAGAGAATTGCAACAGGCAAGAACGGGCCTTCCCCAAAAAGAAAGAAGAGTACCCCAGCGGAAAGAAAAGATCTCCACGCAGAATTCAAACTCGATAAAATCCGGGACCTATCCGGGTGGAATCAGGAACAGAAAGCTTGGATGTTCGCTCCCAGAGCGGCAAAGACCCGGTTTTGGAGGAGGAACTCGGACCCGGAGGCAGAGAAGAGATGGAGAGTTTCCGATCTCCTGGCGAGCCGACGCATCCCAAAAGGTGACGAATCCTAGAGGGAGAGGGGCGCCCGCTGCCCCACTTCCTCGCCTCGGACGCTACGGGTGTCGACTGCGGAGATTCAAGAGCGAGCTCTCGATATAATAATGTCCACAACATACAATTCGATGGGAGACTCGAGTGGTATGGTATGATGAATCGGGCCTTCTGGCTTTAGGGGTTGGGAAAGGGAGGGGGGCGAGGCGACGTCGACAGATAAGGAAGACAACAATTAATTCATAAAAATGTCCAATTTATTAATATCAAATTAGATTTGTCAATTTCGCCCCCTTTTTTTCCTTTTCTTTTTAAGATGAAAATTTTATAATCATTTAAAATATATTCAAATAATTAACTATAAACTCAAAAACAAAAAAAAATATCCCTATCTTATGTTTCAAAGAACACATATATCTCATTTTAGCTTTTCAACAAAATCATACTTAATATTAATTTAATGAGTTCAAAAGGAAGATATACTTTTGTGAGATCACTTTATATTACTGTCATTTTATAATTATTAATTTAATAACAATAACTAATAGGTTCTTTGTCATCTCAAATAACAAAACTAGTTGGTATGATGTGTCACTGTCTAAATGGGTGATCAAAGGAATAAACAAAAGGGTTCAGACAAATTTTGCTTGGCAGGGAACGATGATTGCTGTTTGGGAAATTACTTGGTGAAGTACAACTCACCACAAAGACCCAATTGCTCTATCATGCACTCTTGGCCAAATGGATTTCCAAGCTTTTCAATGATCACCTAAGTCTTGGATATGATGTTTCACATCAAATCAAATGTATGATCTGTTCTCTTAAGAAGATAATATTCTTGACTTGATTTAAGTCGATAGAAAAGAGATTAAATAATTATAATCACATCAAATCATTAGTCTTGACCTCTATATCTGTAGAGATGAATATTTAAGATGTTGGATCAAGATTTATAATATTCAATCAGTAATATATTTGATTTCTTCCACTGAATTTGTATCCTTTTTCTTTGCCTTAATAGATGTTGTATGTGACAACTTATAACAAATACAAATCATCTCAAAATTAATAAAATTTATCTAGATAACATATCATCTAAATTGTGAAAGCTCAAGGAGAGAACTTGGTGTATTATCAGCAACTAAATGCATTCAGATTTTTGGAAGTTGTGCTTGTGATCCACCGGAGAACATCCGCTTGCCTTCGATGGATTGAACTGGTCTTCTTCGAGGATTGCTTCTGGTGGGATGACTCCTTGATGGTTCTTCTTCTTGAATACTCTGCAGACAGCCCATCCATCTTCCTACGTAGCCCAAAAGGATTTCTCTTAGCTTGGCTAAAATTTTCATCGATTTCTTCTATGAGCAGAAGGAATACTGATTCAAGACGATGCAACTAGGGATCCTGAATGGCTCTTCTTTCTGAGGACAAAGTGGGATTTCTGTGGTGGTTCTTGCCACATAGAATAAAGAGAATGATAGAATGTGCTTTTAAATGGCTTTTGTTAGGTGTGACTGCAGGTTCACCATACCTGAATGTCCAAGCTTTCATCAAGACGATACTCATGCATGATCCAATCAGTCTTCTGGCCATGAGGGGCTCTCCCGGTGTAGAACAGTAGGGTTTTCCTCATGCCAATCCTCCTTGAGTTGCTAAGATGGATGGCTTTGTCCCTCCCTCTCTGTGCCCTTCCAGAAACCTGCAGTTGTTGCTCGGTTGGTTCGAGTTCCGGTTGGGTACTTGCTATCCTTGTGGCTAAAGAAGAACAACACGTTTTGAGGCCCACACCCAATTCTGCACTTCTCTGTTGAGGAATCAGAGTACTCCATGTTAATAGTTCCTAAGCAGAGAGCTTATCATCTTAGTGATACTACAGAAAGAGCAGAATATGGATCCTATGATAGAGCGAAGCACAGTGAACTGAACCTTCGATGTCCCATGGCTCAAGTTTGTTGACGTCGACCTCTCTTATAACATCAAGATCAATGGCTTCATAGGCTACTTTCTTCCTCAGGTAATAATACAGCAGCTCTTCATCTGTATGGTGAAACCGGAAGCCCGGAGGCACTGCTAGCTGCCCGTTGCTCGGCGTCATGCTTGCTTGAATTGTGTTCTCAGAGAGAGAGAGGGAGAGAGAGAGAGAGA